TGGTCACACAAGAGATACAAGAAATAAAAGTAATGCATAAATAAAATGTGAACAAATGTTAATATATGAGGTCAATATCTACTAAGAAAGTCACAGAATGTCCACTAGAGGGTGTAAAAACCTGAATTAAAATGTGTATAAATATTTGGGTTACAAAATAAAAATGATATATAAAGTCTGAATAAAACCTTTGGGGGTGTGCGCCTGCAGCCTTGTGACTTTACATATCATAGAAGGTTACAATTACCTTTTTTGGGCTGACTCGGCTTTCCCTTTTACATAGGTTACATAGACCGTTGTTTATATAGATATACAGCCAATTGTTTTAATAAAGTTGAATTATTTTCTATGATCTGAAGAGTCACAAGAAAGTCAATGAAGAGTTGCTTCCGCCTCAACTTGGATTCCCAGGGGAGACCACTGGGCTGAGATCTACAAAAGCATCAAAATGCTTAGACAACAGCCACTGAATAGGATGCTCTTCAGTCTGACGTTTGCACGCTTAGCCTGCCTAACCCCCATGGTTCACAGCGTATGGGTACAAGCACCTGAGCAAGAAGTATCAGTCACATCTCCCGGTCTTGGGGAATGGAAACAGAACCAGATATAATTGTAATAACTGTAACAGAGGACAAATCTGATGGAAATCAGCATTCATTTACACAATGTAAAAACCTTTTCTTCCTCGGTTTATTGGGGGACACAGAGCTAAGTGTTCTTCTACCTGCGGGTATACTGCCGCCTGTAGGAGGTTTGGACACTTTGCAAAGCATAAAGGAGCCAGCCCTCTGCAAACATGCTTAGGAAGGCAGTTGTAGCAAGTAGTGATTGGCCGGATAAGTACAGCCTTCTTAGAAAAGAAAAACCATGTCAACAGGCCAATCCAAAAGCGGCAAAGGAGTTGTGTCTATGCGGGCCAGTAGCAGGCCCCTTTGGCATTGCATATGTCTGAACCTCCTGCAGGTGGCAGTATACCCACATGTATAGGAATATTCCATGATGTGTCCACCTATGTACATCTGAGTAAACTAGGGGTTGCCAGACCATGCTAAGGCTACCTCAACATCCTCAACAAGGTTGCCAAGGCTACCTCAACAAAGGTGAATTTCTTTGTAGCATTTAAGGCTGATCAAAGGCTCGGCATTTCTTTTACTTGGCCGTTTTTACTGCATGCTAAAGAGCATCACTGACCTTTTTATTATTGGTCACATCCATATTATTGGTCATATCCATATACAGCACTCTGTTATAGGTCAACAAAACCCAAAATGTTTACGTCACATTTGCATGGCCGCTGGCAAGCTGAATCACTTGGTGGCTTTGTACGTATACCGCCACTAGAATCTCATGCGTAGCCAACTGTCCCTTACAAATCTCAGTGATAGTTTTCATGGTTCCCCATGAATTTAATAATGTAGGGTAAGAATAAAAGGTATATTTTGGCCTTGTGGGAGGGGCAGAGACACAAACCACTATGGAGGAATCTCACGACTTAGAGATATTAGAACTCAGCAGAAGATTCAACCCACCCAAAACCAGAGGAACTGACCTCTAATGGTGTCTTCCTTGAATCACCCCTGGGCACGTGCATTTCAACACACAATCTGGCATTGTCAATCGGCATCTTCACCACGCTACTCTGATGGCAAAATGAGCCAACTTACCTTTACACAAACATGTACAGACGGCCATCCAAAATTGTTCAATTCATCTGATTTAAACGACCGCCCTTGCTGGAGTGTGGGCGCTTTAAAAGGAGCGCTTAATGGAGAAGAGAAACCACAATAATACATTGGTAAATAACTCTTTACTTGCCCATGCTTCTAGTTCTTGGACGCATCATTGGGGAAGTACAATAAGGGTCCACAAAAGCTCCGGGCCTGTGGCAGGAAGTCATGGGCAACTCCCCCC